TTCCAATATTATATCAAAAATAAAAAGCACTGTAGAAGGGTTCTAATCATTAAGAGCAAATTAGCATTACTTATTTTAGTATCAAGGTATTAGAATTTGTTGTGAATGATCAATGAAAAAAAATTTTCATTTACGTAATGATTCTAATGGTGGATTTAGAAATTAGTTTTCTTGTCTTACTAAGCTGTTGAAAATTTTATATGCATACATGGCATTTAGATCTTTTAGATGAACACACCTTTGATGTTGTTATCTTTACATTCTAAGAAGCCATGGATAACATTCCTAAGAAGAAATATTATAATTCCAGATGATTCTGGAATTGATAAGTACTAGCAGAAATGCTGCCCTACAGGCAGCTGATTGTGCTAGTAATTACTAACTCTACTATTCACATTTCACTGGAAAACATTTAGAAAAAAGTGAACATTTTCTAAAAAAATATTTTTTTTTGGAAGTACTGCACAGAAAAAGTCTTCGGATTGTGCTCTTTAGTTATATGCAACTCATTGCATCAAAATGATTCAACGTACACAGCTCAATATTTTCATAAATATTTCCGATATAAACTGTAATATTTTTATACATTAAAAGTGGTACCATTTATTGAAAAAATAATAGCTTTTAAAGAACTCCAGTTTCTCAGTACTACATTTAAAAATTACGTCAATAAAGATATAATCAAATTCTCACGTACAGTCCTAGTGAAAGTCGTGTTCTTGTTGTAAAATTGGGTTCTATTATACAGAAATGGTTGTTGCTCATACCATAGTTATTTCACTAATTGTCTGAATCTTGATTACAAAAAGTGTGAATTTTTTTATGGATTTTTGTTTGTGGTACAATTCAATTGACAGGAGTTTGGTTACATACATAGATACTGACATACACTCTACATCTATTATAGAAAGATTTTCTAAAAGAGTAGTGACAGATAATCATTTTAATGAATTATGAAGAAGTAACTATTGCAGTTTATTTTGTGATTTCTTTTTCATTATTTAAGTGAACAATTTAGATAATCTTGAACAGTAATATTTTCAAATTTATTAACAACATTAAGATGATGGGAAGAGATGACTCAACAACAACATATTTTTCTTATTTGAAAAGATCTTAACATTAAGTTTCTGCGTTAGATTGTGCAATGTAAAATTATGACTTTGGGGAAGGTAATTTTGAAAGAAGTTACTGTATTTCTCATGTTAGAGGAACATTGATGCTGTAAGAAGAATGACTGAGATATGATTTTGTTTTTAATATAACCCTAAAATGTTATACCTGTGAGTAGGCTAATTCAGTAATGGAATGAAAAGGTTGAAAATACAAGCCTGAATATGATGGAAAATAGGTTTTTAAGCTTTCAAAGTTAAGAATCAGACTTCATCTTCTATGATTATTTTTGTTATAAAGTTTTGAAATGGTTTGCCTCATAATGCAGTAGAACAGATCGTTTTTTTTTAACTTTTTCTTTTTGATTATGTATATGGTGAACATGAAGGGCTATATTTAATTCTAAGTTAAATTATTCTTTTAGTTATATAATTTGGTGGGATGAGTTTGTTTTGAATATTCATTAAAGGCTACACAAGAGCTATTAGCTATTCCTAATTTGGAACTGATAAAAAGAAGACAATTAGTGAACAGCAGTTACTGCCAACTCTTAGGCTGCTCTAATCGAATATTGGTATTTGACTGTTACCCTTATAATGCACCTGAGACCCATAAGTATAGAGAACAATTGAAATATATACACACACACACACACAGATATATTTTTTGCACAAACAGGATGTAAACTATGGATCATTGGATCCACAGTCTGATAAACTAACCATTAAGCCAAAACCAATCCTGTTTTGGTGGGTTAAACATGATAATGAGCATTGAATAGCTTTCTTTTACTACATGCTTTCATCAATACAAAACAATTCTCAAACTACTTCTGCTAAGCAACAATTCCTTGTGGTAATACCAACTGTTAAGTTTGGGATATTTCAAAGTAAAATCCTTTTAAAATTTACATTGGCAATATGATTCATGAACAAATATGATCTTTTGTTCAAATCTTTGGGTTATCTTATGTGGGAGGGATGTAATATAGATTGACAAAGAGCAACATAGTGACCTAGAATATTTAGTTACACTGAAGTCTAAATCAAAATCTTGAATCCAGATGTTTCCCCATAACTGGTCTACATAATTTAAAAGATTTCCAACTTAACTTACCGAAGCACTTCCAAAATGTAATATCACTCACAGACAAAAAATTGTCATGTACAGGTATACTAGTTGAGCATATAATTACATAATTTTTATTCTTGTTTATGTATGTGTGGTAGTACTTAACATATATGAAGCTACTAGAAATAAACACGATTTATTAATTTAAAAAAACAAAACTGTCAGTACGGTAGTAGACTAGTACAAGCAGATTCATGGTTCAAAATTTGGTCATAGTTGACTGGATAATACCTTTCATTACAAAAGAAATTGAAGAAGTTCAGAATTCACATTCTGGATAAGTGTCATAAATCTAGTAGTAGGAAAAACTAATCCAGAGTCTGAATTTCGAACTACAATACTCTTTTACTATAAAATTTTGAATAAACCTTAAGCTATTTTACTAAAACGATGTTTATGAGCTACATTGACAGATATTATTAATGGATTTGTAATATCATTACTAATATTACAATGTTAGTCTGAATTTACTAATGAGATAACTAGCTTAGTGCAACAATGCGTTCTTATAATATACTAAATTAATCAATGCATGACTACTAGTAGTACTAATAGTAAATGGGATACACACTAGTTTAGTTTGCTTACAATTTATACTAGTACTGGTAATAACATTAACAGTGACATTGTGTAGTCAAAACATTAACACTTTAATTTTTAGTAATATTTGGCTTAACCAGTCAACAACTCACTTGCTGGAAATGTAAGTGAACGAAACTGCAGAACATCTATTAAAAATATCACATAAAATAGAAATTAATCTATGACTTAAACAAGCCTAACAATAATATTAATAATTTTCTACATGCCAAAATAAGTTTGTCTTCGTGACACAGCGCCCTCTCTATTCAAACGACAAATTTCTTTTAAATACCTTTTCATTTCTAAATTTTATTTACTACTTAGTTGTGTATGTTTAAGAATTCATTGGATTACTCTACATATACACACAGGAATTATAAATCAGGTTTGAAAACGGCGGATAAATAAAAATACGAATTTCACCAAGGAAGAGTAGGTAAAAATGAAACTTTTGACTATTGAAAAATTAAATAAGAAAAATGAATTTCAGTATTTCACTAGCTTTTCATCTACATATTTGAATTACATATACAAGTTAATTTTCAAACAATACGTTCAAAAATATATTTTGATTTAATAAAAGTTGTTAATAGAGAATAATATACATAAAAGAAATAAACATTAACTGTACAATCTTATAGAATAAAGAAAAAATGCAAATGAAAAAAAATCACGTCATAAATAACCGGTTTCGATTATTTATAATACTTCATTTAAAACAATAGTTTTGGCTCAAGAATAAAATGAAAAATATCACTTTAAAAAATCTTAATACATAATAATGGTAGTTTTTAGAAAAATAATGAGTTTGATGACAATTGGTTTGGTTTTGTGAATTTCGCGCAAAGCTATATGAGGGCTGTCTGCGCTAGCCGTCCCTAATTTAGCGGTGAAAGACTAGAGAGAAGGCAGCTAGTCATCACCACCTACCGCCAACTCTTGGGCTACTCTGTTACCAACGGATAGTGGGATTGACCGTAACATCTAACGCCCCCACGGCTGAAAGGGCAAGCATGTTTGGTTGGACGGGGATTCGAACCCCAACCCTCAGATTGCGAATCAAGCGCCCTAACGACCTGGCCATGCCGGGCGCGATGATAACTGACAATACAAAGAAGATTCTGAACAGGATATGTTAATTATTCATGAAAACTAGTTTTTACCCAAAACATACATATGTTATTCAATACAAAAATTAATCATTATTATTCTATCATTTCACTAGCGATGAAAAAAGTTGTGGCAGAATTTTTAATATGATGACTTTAAGGATTTCAGTATTTGTACCTACGAGAGATTCAACAAAACTTATACAGTGAGGTCATAGCTAAAGTGCTCAAAGAGACTAACTTCAGAAATCTAATTTCAGAAACATAAATTATGCGATGTTAAGATCAAGTTTTATAAACCTGTTTAGATGCCTACAGAGAACATGAAAAATGAAGATATACAAGAAATATTGTTTAGGCTTTGGTGACAGGACAAGGCCAAAGAAGATCAACAGCCAGTACAAGTAGATTTGCATTTTTATGCCCTGGTCTTGACATTAAGCCCTTTCAACTAATAGGATAATAGAGCCAAATTTCTATCTATTTCCCAGTCTTTTTCAAAGAAGATACATTCATCTCATTATTAGAAATATACTCGTTACAAACTAAATATGATGATTTTTATGAGGCCACAATTAAATTAAGATCCATGATGGGTATTGTATCTTTAATACATTTTCATTGAATATAAAAATTAAAGGATAGATGATTTCATCAGAACAAATAGATAATTTTAATTTACATTAACCTGTTAATCACATACAGGGTTACCTAATTTGCCCACATTTAATGTTTCATGGCATAGATGCACCATTTTCTTATGTAAAATGCTTAAAATCTCTTGTAACAATTATAATTCACCAACTTTCTGTAAAAATTCAAAGAATTATGAAAATAAAAATTAGGAACAGAATGTACCTATGTTACTCAAATACGTCTGTTTGATATTTTGGTAATAAGTATTACTCGGAGCCATCAGATTAGTACGCCAACTGTTACACAGTGTTTTATATCATCACTAGATGGTGCCAGGGTAGTAGTGAAGTATACGGTTCAAGAACCATGGCCTTGTAAATGACAGAATCATTTGATCAGTTTTGAAAATATTGAACTATCAATACCTACCCTGCACTTAGTTGAAATAGAGGGTTGAGATGAACTAGACTGTTGGAGTACGTATTCAAGTACTCTAGAATGAAGATGGTTTTCACTGCGGCCAGACGGCAATAATACTTGTGCAAAGGCATTTAGAAGCGTAAAATTTCGAAATGTCTGTCGAGCTTAATCAAAATCTCGTATAATAAAGAAACAGAATATCGTGACCCGAAGAACGTTAGTATGTATCTGTTGTAAGAGCACCCTGAAATAAAATGGAATCAACCTTACTAAACAACTGTGAAATAAAAGTAACATAACAAAAATTTCAGAATACTGCTAAAGAAGTTTGATTTGTAATAATTTTCCTTAATTTTATCCAAACACTAACCTCTGTTGTATTACTTTATTGCTGCCTTCTTTCTCTTTATCATAAACAAAAATCAAAACACAGAATAACTTTTAAAAATGCAGAAAATTTGCTCTTAAGAGTAATAAACAGTGAATAGGTTTTACTGTCAATTACATAAAACACTCTTATTGGAATAATTTAAGTGCATCTGTTTGTGGAACATTTTGTCAGGAGCATCATGAACTGCGAAAAATGTAAAATCCATCTTGCGCCAACCCACTAATTAGCCTGAAAGAAAAATAAAAACGAATGGTGTTTATTTTTAAAGATTGATCTCTAAGTGTTATTTTCACAGGTTTATTTTGATTGCAACATTGTATGCCAATGTTTTTTGTTTGTTTATAAATGAATTTTTCTAAAGTGTGTAATACTCCTGGTAATTATCTATAGGGTAGAAAAGAACACTTCTGAAGGAAGCTAAAGCCTGTGTTTAAACTTAAGCCTTAGGCTATACAGGGAATTTACATTCTGTCAATGTACGCAAGATAAGGTACAATTTTCCACTACGTGACCTGTTTCTAAATTTATTTTTTTTTACGTATGTATAATATTATTTAGATGTCACTTCTGTTTTATATATTATAATAATAAAGTAATATAATAATGATAGGTCGATACGTTTTGTTTTAATCGGAAAACATGCCAAGAGGGATAGACGTGATTCTTTCTGTATCTGAAGAAAATATTTCATCCTTAAGGAGGTACTAAACCAAACTGAAGTATATGCCTTAGTAAATCGTGTACAAAGTACAAATAAAGAGCTATAAATATAGTTTTTATCAACAGAGCCTAATTACTTGACAGCTTCTCGATTTATGTGGACGGATATTTTTTCCTATCACTGTACTTAGGTTTGGTCATGACAGTAACAAATAGACGTAGGTAGCAAATAGTAAATGTGTAAAACTCAACTCAGTGTTTGCATGAGGGATGTCTTATGATTTGAGGATGACATATAATTACGTCATGGAAAATGTAGTCTTATAAGCAAGTCCTTTAAGATATACAATAGAATAAACACAAACGAACACAATATAAATAGTCGATCTGGGGATAAGAATGAATCAGCCAGCCAAAGACACCAACAACGGTGTCATGGTGACGTGGAAGGAGGAAAAGATCCAACAAGCTGCTCACGAAACCCGAGTACGATTGTTCCAGCACTAGAACGCGTCATTCTATTGATAATAACTGAACTAAATAGCAACACATTATTTATCACATATAAATGATTCTTTCACAACGTTGTCCACAGGGTTACCTCGATATTCATTAAAAAAATAGCGTGTAAAACAATTAACAGTTTCATATGTTTTAAGCACTTTATTTTGTATCAAAATAAGTGTACTTATTTCCAGTCGTATATGAAGGTATGTTAGAGATACTGTATACGAGTCAAAGCGGAGACAATGTGGAACACGTTTCTCATTATCAGCATTTCAGTGTATTAAGAACCTTAAAACCTCGACAGATTTCAACATTATTATGAATTTGTTTTCATCTATCAATTCACTCCTACTTATTATCTGTCATCGACTTAGATATTGTTGCTGAAGTGTGATACATAACATAAAGTCAATCATTCTAGCAAAGAAACATGTTCATTGTGTGGAGAAAATAACTGGCAAAGAAGTTGTCTTTTAATCAAGATTCCAAGCCACGTATCATTCAAGATTTTTTCGTTGAAAGTAAAAAAAAAAAGTTATTTTCGTGGCTTAGTGATTAGCGTGCCGGGATTTGAATCTGAGGGTCCATGGTTCGTGCTCCACAATTTGGGGCCATGGGTGCATTATTATAGTGATGGTCAAATCCATCTACTCGACTAGAGTAGTTCGAGAGTTGGCGGTGGATGCTACTGACTAGATGCCTTCGCTCTAATCTATCTTTTCAAAATTAGAGATGGCTAACGCAGACAGCCCTTGTATGTATAGCTTAAAGTTGTGCGAATATCCGAAATAAAACAAACATTTTTCACGTAAACTACCATACTACTTTTGTTTTATATAACTCATGTTTTCTGATAATAAATAATATTTACTGAAAACGAACGTTACCTCTGAAAGTTCGACAATGTTTATGCCAACCAACGCTGCCAGCCAATTAACTAATGAGACTGTGAACCGAAAAATTCCTGTACGTGTCTATATTGCTACACAAGTTGTTAAGCTAGGTAAGACAAAAAATACTTGCACGTGTATAAGCAGCGTCTCTCTCTCTCTCTCTATTTTCAATCCCATGGTAGGTCAGCAGTAAGTTTACAAACTTACAATGCTAAAATTCGGGGTTCGATTCCATGCAGAAGGCTCAATGTGGCTTTGCTATAAAATAAACAAACAGTCTAAAATAATCATCACTCAACCTTAATTTCTCAACTTGCTTATTTATAAACGCAAGCACCGTCAAACGTCTAATGAATTTGTTCTTAATCCTTTTTTCGAACGAGCAGAGCTTGCACAGTACTTTTATCACGTAAGCCTAAATGTACTGTTTTTCTTTTTGTTTTTGAAAAGTAATGCCACCTTTCATTATATTTATGAAGTTTGAATGACGTATTTTAATCACCACAACTATGTTAATATAGGTATTTGAATACTACTGTAATTATTTCATAAAATAGGCCTTGCTCTTTCGTTTGATTTTTTTTCTTTTCTGAGTTACTGAGTAAGGATAGAATTCTCAGAAACATTTGGCAAATCTAATAATAAACAAGGCCTCACGCTTACTTTTTGTCAAAATACACAATGTAGATGCAACAACGTTTAAGAAAGTGCTTTCATTGTAAACAAATATGTTTTCTTTATCAGTTATTTCACATCAATTTATTTTTTATGAGATGAAAGTGGAGCACCAAATCTACTAAGTGTTTTTAAAAAGTCAAAAAGCACCAACACGTCCGCTAAATAGTTTTATAATTTGTTTTAAGAGGTCAAATGTATCAATATGCCCACTAATGTTTTAAATAAATGGCGCAACACGATGCGCTTCATTAATCTGTTTTCTAATTAAACATTATATTTTTATTTGATAATTCTCCTAGAATAAGCACTGTTTGCTTATTAATATTACAAGAACAAACAGAAGAACCGTGAGGTTCTTCATCTACTAAACTTGTAAGGGGATAAATATGCTAACAATGCGAATACAAATGCTAGCTATATTCATGTCGTTATTGTGAATTTCTATAAGATTTTATATTCTACAATAAGTTTTTTATTTAGCTATTAAGAATGGATAATTTGCTATACAACTACGAAAGAAATATCGATAAAACTACACATTTTCTATGTTAGAAACTGAGCTTGCGGTTATTACATAATTTCGGGCATGGGGTAGAACAGTGACTGTATTTTGAATTATCATAATGCAGATACATTTCAAACAGTTTCTTTTTATGGTTTTTATCCAGCAATAACAGGATAGATGTTATTGTTTTGCAAGTCAAGGTGAGAGTTAAGTATGAAAATTAGTAGGCCTTATCTTAATATCTGCTTAATATTGTTGCTAAAAATAGAGAAATGACAGAAATTAATATCGTGACCATACTCTATTGTAATATAAACAATGACTATATACATGAAACTAAACCTATGTCACAACAGTGGTCTAGTTACTCTAGTATTTGTTTGTTTGTTTTTGAATTTCGCGCAAAGCTACACGAGGGCTATCTGCGCTAGCCGTCCCTAATTTAGCGGTGTAAGACTAGAGGGAAGGCAGCTAGTCATCACCACCTACCGTCAACTCTTGGGCTACTCTTTTACCAACGTATAGTGGGATTGACCGTCACATTATAACGCCCCCACGGCTGAAAGGGCGAGCATGTTTGGTGGGACGGGGATTCGAACCCGCGACCCGCAGATTGCGAGTCGAGCACCCTAACCACCTGGCCATGCCGGGCCTACTCTACTATATCATATTATACATCAAACGCGAACATGACCTAAATAAAAAATATGTTTTTATCTTTGTTAAACCTAAATAGCTGAAAATTATTGAAATTTCGACAAAAATGATACCACTAAATAGGAGTAAATTAAGAATGCTTTTGGGCAGTGAAGATTTTTGGACCCTTTGAAATTGATTTTAAATTTTAATTTTAGAATCAATTTCTATTTTTATCAGAACTATTTACCCATATTTGCGTCATAAGTTAATTTTTATGGTTTCTTCAAATTTTCCCACGTGCGCCATAAGACAATTCTATTTGAATATAATAAGATTGTACACAGACAATTTTCCTTTTATAATTTTTCCTCTTTTTTCCAATTAAAATTTTTTTATAAATTGAAATATATAATATTTTAAAAATGTAATATTTGGCGAAGTATAAACGTAGTTGAAAATGTATGTAAAAACATGAATTATTTTTACGTATGATGTTTTTAAATGTATTTTATTCACTACAGTGTACATATATTTATATAGAATTTGAATAATTAAATGTTTTTTTATACAAAAAACTATTGTTTTTGGTAATAAGAAAAAATAATCATTTCTGAAAAAAATATCAGCAACTACCTCCTCTCTATTCGTTGTGGTGAGTTTTCAAGTTGAACAGTTTGATTTTTCTGATAATAAAATGTAAACTACGTCTTTGTATGTAGTAATTATAATACATTTTGAATTTGTTTGGCTAAAATTTCCTATTTTATGATCTAGTACCTGACTTAGTTGAGAGGACAAAAAAAAAGAAATTGAATAATAATTCATTAGTCAGCTAGCTAGCTATCAGTCATGTTTTGGGCTCCCACGAGCAGTACGAGGTTACCCTCTGTTCAGCCCGTCCCTCATATTAAGTAGGAATGGTTTCATTTACTCAAGTGGCAAAATTTTTATAAATATACTTGGAAGTTGAC